TAGGGGAATCAAGAGAGTTAATGCAAAACGAATTCCATCATATAGTTATTCAGATAAATAGGTAAGCGGGAATATGGACTACATAGAAAGTGTTACCCAAAAGTAAAGAAATTTTATCAGGTTGACTCGGTGAGAAATTTTTCCTGAAAATTTGACAGAGCAGAATTGTTTCAATTTTTATGGGTTTTATTCCAAAATAAACTAAATATGTATTAAAACAAATGTCAACCGAAAATAATTGCAGAGGCATGTGTATATGTGAATACCAGTGCCCTGAACATTTTGTGTTATCTTCAGGTGTCACTGTCGTTCTGAAATTCAGATTGAATATTCTTTATTATCTGAATGACTCGTAAGATGTCATTTAGATACCATTTTTACTTTGAAATTTAGGTTGAATACTTTGTGTTCACTGAATGAACCATAAACTATGAATCAGATGCCATTTTTACTTTGGAATTAAGATTCAATATTTTGTGCTATATGAATTTATGCCACTTTGTAGAGACTTCGAGCCGAAGAGATGAAAAATGATCAATCGCCTTCGCCGGGAATCGAACCACAGACCTCTGGAATACCGTCCCAGCGAGCAGAACCACTACAACCCAAAGGCACGCCAAGAAGGTTGGAGAAATACCTCATATACTCCCCCTTTTAAAAAGCTAAAGGGCGATTGAGGTTTTTGGGAGACCCAATCGCCAAATCCTGGGTGTGGAGAGTCATCGTCCATCAGCCTTTTAGTTCGGGCGCCACTGTAGAGACATAAGGTTAATCGGAAAAGTCGGAGAGATAAAAAAATTAGCAACCGCCTTCGCCGGGAATCAAACCACGGACCTTTGGAATGCCGGCCCAGCGTGCAGAACCTCTACACCACGAAGGCACGCCAAGAAGGTGGAAAAATACTTTATAAGTTTACCTCTGTTTTACTATAACAAAATTTTGGATGCTTTGGGTAATTTATTTTCTATGAATTTTTAAATGGCTTCCCGTATTTATATGAGTCTTTTATATTAACAAGCGATTCAAAGAAGTATACTCTTGTATATTTTTTTATCTAATTCTATTTTCCAAGTTCGGTATATGCAAGGGACACCTTTGTTTTAATCCAATAATGACAGGCACTATCCATTACAGGCGTTGACCTCTACTACGACCGGAAGCGATGGTCACTTGATTATGAAAGCACCTAAATAGGTGCCACCGTTACCTCCTAAGAACGAACAGACAGTTTACATCCATTCCTTCTCCGGGAATAAAAACCCGAGCCGTTTGGTATTACAATAGGCTCCCCTGACTACTATCGTCTGGGCAGCTTAAAGGTAATATTGAATACTGTTGTAAAATGTATATTGAACGAATACTCACACGAAATATATTTAATGAAGCTCTGATTATATTGCGGCTGGAAACGTCTGATGCTATTGTTAAAAATATTTGTTTTTACAAATGTTTTTTACAGAATATATAAAAATTGTAGTATAAAACAATGGATAATGGAAAAAAGAAAAAGTAATTATTATCCTGAATTTATCATTCCTGATTTTAATATTACATGATTAAATTTAAATTAATGCAAAATCATCTCAGATTTAGCCTTAAATTACTAAATCATCTAAGTAAAATAATCGTCCTTGTTACCGAACCTATTCTAATATATTATTCCCTGCTGTATTATTCTCTAAATAAACTGTAATGGAGACTGGAAATATGATTTTTAGGATACTTCATCCATGAACAAATAATGTACGAAATCAGTTTGTAGGGTTTGAAAGTCTGGTCATAATATTTCATATCTGTTTACTAAAAGAGGTAATACATAAACATTTTCAACCACTTTTTTAACATGATAAGAAAGTTCCTAAATGGTGCACTTTCAGCTTTTTTAAAAGAACATATAATTATGGTATAATTTTCTACTATTTATAACTTAGGAATTTAACTGTGTATTATTTTAAAATTGGCCTTTTGCAGCATTAAAATAGGTTTTGTAATAATCCACTTTGTTTACTTACTTCTTAATTTTTTTTAAACACATAACAAGGATATTTGACCCCACTCTTCTAGTTATACATGATCATAGAACCTATGAACAACTTGCATGTGATAAAAGTTGTTCATAAAAATGATAAATGATAAATGATAAAATAAATGATAATTTGGTATTTTCATAAATAATATACCCTACACAAATACCTTCCATAAATGACAATTTTGTATTTTATAAAACGTTAGCATAAAATGAAATTTTATTACAATATTTATTGAATTTAAAACATAATTGATGAGGTTTTACTGCAATGCATGAATGTGAACGGTGAGAGCAAAAAGGAAACTATTTCACTATGTGGATTAAATTGAAAGAAAATTAACTCTGAGATTAGTCATGAGACTACGTTAAGAACATAAGGAAATATATGAATTTGGTTTTGAGTTGGAGCGGTTTTAGGCCGCAAACAATCGAAATTTTACTAACATTCTTAATGATCTCGCATGCAAATATTTTTCTTTTTTTAAGTTTTGTTTTTAAGATTTGATTTAATTTAATATTTTATTTTTTCATCTGTTTCCTATTTCTGTTACCTATCGCAATTCTGGAAAAGAAACCTCTTCATTATCTGGAAAAAATTAATCCCTGCACTATTGTTCGTAAGAGTAATAACAAATTTCAGCATTTGACTTTGATTTATAAGTAAGAGTTGCAAAAGTTAATTGACTTCTCTAACTACTGAAGTCTTATACTTTTGCATTTAATAACTAATGTATTCTATTGATATGTTAACCCTAACTGACGTTTATGAAATTGGTGGTAGTTGTAATTTCAGATTTAAAAGAAAATTTTAAAATTCCTTCTAGCCATCTTGTATTATTTAATAAAAAGGTATTAATTATAATGGTATTCTGTTTAATTATATGAGGCTTTTGCATAATCATGAAATTTTAATGTGAAGATAATATTTTCATTAAACATTTTAAGCCTTTTCACTTCCTTGTACGAAATAAAGGAAGTATTGCAATCACAAAAAATTCCGGGTACCATATTTCAACGAAAATATTCATTTCGACCGCTATCGAATGCAATTTAACTATGTTTTTGCGTGATATCTCTACGTAAGGACAGAATAATCCATTTTGTTTACTTACTTCTTAATTTTTTTTAAACACATAACAAGGATATTTCACCCCATTTTTCTAGTTATACATGGTCATAGAACCTATGAACAACTTGCAGGTGATGAAAGTTGTTCATAAAAATGATAAATGATAAATGATAAAATAAATGATAAGGACTCTTTTTACCCAAACGAATTATGAAACTGATTTAAAATGGATTCAGAAGAGATTTTTTCGTGGCATCTGTACATATGTATGCATGTATCTAGCATAACTCAAAAAGAGTAGCCTCAGAACGTTGAAATTTTGTATGTGAAACTGCTATAACATGTAGATGTGCACCTCGTATTTTGGTCGCAATTGGCCGTACCAAAAGCATTATAAATACATATATATACACATATATACCCACTCTGTTACTCGGCTCCGTGAGCTCAGATTCTTTATCCTTATATGTTGGTAAACTACGCATTTTTTCCTATAAAAATGATCGAGTTAGATTGTTCTTATCTTCCGGTTAAGGGTTTTACGCCTTTAGTTAACCTGCATGTTATATTTGTAGAATTATGAACAATTTAAAAGTTGTTTAAGTGCGGTTGAGCCATTTTTTTACCATAACAGCCATATTTTTTTATGTTTGAAACTTAGCAGAATAGCGGATTTGTTGCTAATTTAGAGAAACTAAGCTTCGCAACAACAAAGATAACGTCTTCTTGTATTATTGCGAAATAAATCATGCTTAATCCATTCTGGAATTATCATTTAGATTATTAAATTATCCCATGTATTGAGTCAGCATAGCGTCCGCAACAAATTAAGTCAGTTTATACGCCTTCAATGTCTTTTTACCGAGTGGAACCAAAAAGAAATTTTTAGTTTTGTGCACCGAAACATCTGCCTGCTGGCCGAATTGCTTGTTTTTGCGTAGAAACTCAACTCTAATTTTAATTGTAAAAATTATTTTTTTAATTGTTTTAACTGTATTTGGTGTTTTATGTTTTTCTATATCTTTCAATTTTTAATGAAGACATTTTGAGTTTTTATGTATTTTGGCCTTGCCGCGAAATGAGAAACGAATTAATTGAATGAGAAATATATTTCTAACGAAATTCGAGAAAATACGTGTTTCGTATTATCAGCAAATATTGTCACCAATCTGACTCGAACAGAGGAGAATGTTTACGAGTAGCGCATTCGCATTAAGTAAGCGGCGCTGAATCGTCTGTGAAAACTGTTTCTTTTTTTTTTTCTTTTTGTTTAATTTCTTTTATATATCGTTTTAGATTTAGTATAGTATTTGAATAGAACATGTGGCAACAATTAGATAATTATTCAGAAGATAATAATTTTTGTGCTTTCTGAATTGTAAAATGAATGAAATGTAAAATGTAACGCTGTTAAGTGAACCTAGTGCCAGAGCGTGGCTACGGTAGATAAATATAGTGAATTTTAAAGAATGAATTTATTCTATTGTGGTTTATGCGCTATTGACAAAGTTAGAATTCAATCAGTTTAAATGAAATGCAGGAAAAAATGCATATAATTTAATATTCTGTACAAGGAAGTCATGTGATGTACCCATTATATTTTTTTCATTCTAATACTTACGGAGACATTTGTGTAATGGTCATATATATTTTACTATTTAATACCCCTTTAATCTGCTTTATATTTAAAAATGTTAATTTAATCAAATTCTTCTAAAAATTCGAAAAATATTTTTTTTAGTGCTTATTTTTTATTGGTTTGAAATAATACAATGTAACGCAGTTCGTTTTAAAACTCATGAATAAACGTATGTGAAATATTCAAGTTACAAGATACGTTGTCGCTTTTAGACGATTAATGAATGTCATATATACTTAAGAATTCATACTTACAACGTAAACTATGACTAGAAAAGTAGAAATTTATTTCTAACAAAAATAATCATAAATACATCAATTGAAACTTAAAATTTAGTGGGAAAAGTCCATTTTTAGTCTCCTTTTATGACATTTTTGACTTTCTCGCGCACTTCATCCCACAGGTTGCCTAAGTCCTCCTTATATTCCTTGAAAAATTCTCGAGCTTCTTCGGCAATGTCCTTGCTCATTTTCTTGGTGTCATCCAAGAACTATAAAATAGAAATATAAAGTTAAATCTAAATACTTCCATAGGTGTGGAAATACTTCATATATAATACGAAATATTCTTGCATGTTTTGACATTTTAATTACAGCCTTTAGATTTTCAAACTGAGAATCGTAGCACGTTATCTAGACTGTGTTAGATTATAAATTATTTGACATTTCATATCCGAAATTGGTTGTATTTAAAATTTAAAAAGGTTCATAAATTGTGACATTTCATATGGCTGCAAATCGAAACGATTTTATTCATTTCAAAATTTTTAATGGGTATTAGTACGATAGTAATAAAAGCAATATCTAATAATTCAGGTGGATACTGTCTGTTCGAAAAAAATGAAACAAACACCTTTTGAGATATATTTTCTACAATAAATAAGTAAAGTAATTCGTCAACGACATCGTTAATTACATTCAAACGAAATTATTAACTGTGCATTAATGTGTAACCGCATTAATTCTAATGGAAAGTGTGTGTGTGTGATTATGGCAAAGCCTCTAGGCTATCTGCCCAACGGGAGGGATGCCTTCGTGGAGGACTTTCTAAGGGAACTGGCTCGTATACACGTTACACATGGGGAAAACCACGAAAACGCCCATGCAGCCAGCCCGTTCGCGGGATTCGAACCTCGGACCGAACTACCAGTGTTCAGCGACTTTACCGCTCGGCCGCTGGTGGGCCCCTTCTAATGGAAAGACGATATATAAAAGGGATCTAAAAGGCGTACCAATTTTGAATGATGCTGTGACATTTGAATGTTACTTTTGAGTGAATAATTGGCTTATTATCTTCTAAGTTTTATTTTTATTCTTGTATCACATTTCAGATGTTAACATTAAAATTCTATGAGAGCTTATATGTTAATATGCAATCAATATATATCAAATGAGTAAATGGTTATATTTTGTCCGCACACAGAACAAATGTTATTCCATCTTATCTATTCCAAGCAAATAAAAGATTACGTAAATACTTGTTACCTTGACACAAACATAATATGAAATTCTAATAATAGATTAGCGTGATTATTTAAAAAAAGTCTGCAATTATTTACAATTCTCACACAATGTTTTTTGAATAAACATTTGTAATTGCTTATATTTTATGCAACATATTTATATAATGTAAGTTGTAAATTAATTAAATTTAATATTTATCTCATTGCAGAGTAAAACTGCTTTATTACTAAAAAGGGTTTTCTAAATGTGTTTTCCTATTATTTTCATTGAAAGACATTATTAAGAGACCAACTGTGTGGCGATTTTAATTAATTTTATCTTCTCTTTCTTACATTGTGTACAATTACATACAAGACTAAAGTTTAAGCAGTATATTAATTTACTGATACTTTATGCTATGAATTTCTTTACAAAATTATATTCTTATTAGAAAGATGTTCAACTACTTTTATAACCAGTTAATTTGAAAAGTTTTACAAACAATCTGGCATATAGACAGCAATTTTCTACTTTTCGTCTTAGAATCAGCACTTCTCTAATAAGTAGGAAAAACTCTCTATGATAAGTAGGAAAAAAGTTACGTACCTCACGAGCCATTTTTTTAACGTTGTCGAGCTTGCTCTTGCCCTTTTCCAAGGCTTTTCCGTACTCGTTCTTTACCCATTCTCCGAACTTTGAGAATTTTTCTTTGAGTTCGATGTTTAGGTCTTTGAAGTAATTCTTGACTTTCTCGTAGACATCCTTGATGGACCTTTTGGATTCTTTGTCTTCAAGAACTCGATCAATAATTTCTAAGATCTTTTTCTTGGCTTTCTCACCTTTTTCCTTCAAGGCGTTGATGAATTGTTCTGCCAACTGAGGAAAATGTTTCATTATTTAAAGCTGTAACGTCTTGTGAAGTTAAAATAATTTAAAACAGTCTCATGACTAATTCCAGAGTTATCAAATGTATTTGGTGAATTATCAACCTTTGCAACATCCCAGCCACAAACCCGAGCCAAACATATATTTTTATTATCCACTCCTTGTGGTTTTATATAGTTAAAATTAAAAGTTAAAGTAAAACATTTGATTCTAATTACAAAATTACAGTCTGAGGAGATGTGCCCTGGTTAATAAGTTTCAAATGATTTATAACTGTATTCTCTTCTAACCTAAAGCATAGTTTCACGTTAAAAGACAACATTTTGAAAGCATTTAAAGCGTGATTTATGAGCGTTTTGACAAATGATTCCTACGAAAGCATGGAGAATTCTGTGAGCATGCTAAAGTACGCGTATCGCTAGAAAGAATGTATAAGGAAACGTTATTTCCTTGCATCAAAATATTAACGCTGTCCGAAACGTTATATTCTTTTCCTACTTGTCTGTATATTTTATGCATATGCTCCTTAAATTTCGTACAAACACAATATAGGCGTGAGTATGGGCTATATTTAATACTGGATTAAAATGAGCACATTTATGTTTAATTTTAAATAAGTGAAAATTTTTGAAATACGTACCTCACTTCCTTTACCGAACAGTTTTTCGATCTTTGCTTTCAGTTCTTCAGAATCGATTTTGTTAGTAATCTGCAACAGAAAAACGGCAGTCATTTTGTATATCTCTTCTCAACATTGTAAAATAAATGACACGTAATTGGCATTACAAATATCTTTCGGATAACATATATTCATATGGAATCTCTAATGTACTATACTCAGAAATCTTGTCGGCTACGATGGCTTCTGTAAAATATTGTATTTAAATCAATGTAATACATACAAATGCTTTAAATCCACAGTAAATCCCTTGTGACTTGCAAAACACCAAATCCTTTTATATAAATGCTAAAAATTGTGTAACAGAATTCCATCGACAGCATGTTAATAGACTACATCCTCAGGACACCCATAAATATCCCAATTTTTTCTTAAACACGTCCTCCCGAGGGCTTAATGCCACATCCCAGTATATCCTTAAGACACGCTGTCTAGGTCCTATTGACAGCACATGGGTTGTCATTAGGATTTGAAATCCGACTTATATCCTAATACATGCATTAGTCTGAAATTCAGGACCCTACAAAGCCATCAATGGAGGCGGCGGAAATAGGTTTAATTTATTACAAATTTTAAAATTGTTGCATGTGAAATTATGCCACAGGCCTCTAAATTTTTGTGTGAACGAATATTATGACATAAACCAAAATAGATAGGATTGGATTTTTCAGAAATCTATGAGTAAAGTTAGCCTCTATTAGTAAAGTTTAAGAATAATTATTAGAACACAGTGTTAATAATGAAGATCTAAACAATAATTATCATTATTTAAATTTAGGAAAGATGCATTTTTCTATAAAATATCAGATTTTCTGACAATACGACGTTTCACATCGCCTATATTTTGAACTTTTCTGCCGAAATTATAGGTTTTCCTACTATCATTTTTTACTCTGTGTCAAAGGGGTTACCGCCAGAGGTCATATATTAAAAAAATTAATGAGACGTAAAGAAGTTTATATATGTCACAACCAGTGGGAAATGTGTGCTTGCGAATATTTGTATTCTCTTTTCCAATATCTGATATAACGACATTTTGCAAGTGGCTAGATATCGACATTTTCTCTTGAATGATCACTTATTTTAAGAAATGGTCATGTTTTGGATTATCAGCTATTGTAGTGACAAATGTACATGTATAAATATAAATTATAATTAAAATGAAACATTAAGGAGTCAATTTAAATTTCCCTTTTAATTTACATATTTTTTACTTAATTTTAGTTAACTTATATTTACGTATTTTTTGCTTAATTTTAGGTAACTTATATTTACATTTTTTTATCTGACACACACACACACACATACATATATATATATATATATATATATATATATATAACAAAAAGTTAGGTTAGAAATGTGAGAAAAGAAAAATGATGCTGGATGCTTGGTGATCATTTGTATTTAAGTATAATTCTTAATATCATTAATGAAGCAAGAAATAGATAGCTTACTGGCACGAGAGACCCATCATGTTCTTTTGAAGCATATATTTCTATATTCACAGCGTCTGGAAATGACGCAGTCCAAAAAGGTTTATTATCAGCAATTACTGTTTTTGTAATAGAAAGGGAGGTACCCAAATTAAAATGAAGAATTAAGGAGCTATTTAAAATTTCAATTAGAAATTTTATTTGTACACTTTTTATCTTATACACACATATATCAGTCCTTTTAAAGTAAATTTTGAAACTTCTTAAAGTTTTTGCATTTCTTTACATATTTAATTATATATATTTGTGTGTATGTGTGCGTGTGTATAAACCAGAATAACATAAATTATGTACGTATTACAACAGTGGGTTATTTCTCATATCTGTAAAAATATTCGAGAGTTGTAGCTAAGAACTGAACGCACATAAAGCATCATGCACTGTTTGTTCTATCTATCCGATCTATTTATTCCAATATTGTAAAAGTTTTAAATGTTTTCACTGACCATGTCCTTGATCTTCTTGAAGACTTCGCGAATGTTAAAGTCAGCTTCAGCAACAGATCTGTCTTCCCTGCCGAGTTTCTCCTTGAGTTTCTCCCAATAGTCCTTAAGCTTGTCCTTCAATTTCTCGAGAAGTTCCTTTGCTTTTTCGCCTACGTTTACGTTCATGTCCTTCAGCTTCTGGCGGATTTCCTTCAGCTGAATAAATTATATAAATTATAATTTTTGTACCCTCCTTAATAAACTTTCAATTTTTTATATCTTAGAACAATTCACATCTAAAATTTTAATAAGTTACTATCTAATGTTCATTTTCAGCCTTTTCGAAACCTGCATATTTTTTCTATTTGTTTATCTCCGTACGAGACCGTTACAGGTTTCTAAATGAAAATCTTTTTTTTCTTTTCTTAAATGGTAATTTAAAAAATTTTTTGATTCTTATGTTGTTTTCCTATTAAAGACGGATTTAAATGAGGAATTCGGAAAGAAAATTCAAAGTTACAAACTGAATTCAAAAGACCGCGTTTTTATGAGTTTAGTAATTC